TATGTATACTAAAGAGAAGCAACGTGTTTGCAGGCCATGTTCATGGATACCAAACTGAACTCAATGCAGCACTCAGTGGGTACATTGAAAAAGCTCTGTGAAAGATACCATGTTGGTGGCAAGACCATCCTCTATCCGATGTAGTGTCGTATGAATCTAGATTTCACTTTCAGTCTGTATCCTATTTCTCCCACTAAATGGGACATGCACTGCAAATTTTGCCTGTGAACAATGTAACTTCTGATGACTACAATATAAGAATGAGTTTGTTTTATGTTGGAAGTTCCAACTCACTTTAATTGTTCTGGCACTTCATCAGAACCTGTCCCTTATATTCTTTTGTGCAAGAGTTACTGGTTAGAGATAATATGATATACAGTACAAGAGATGATTGTAATAATGTAATGCTGCAATCATAGAAGGCTGAACTTTAGCATCATTAATTTACTTCCAAGAAATTTCGGAGCAAATCATATACAACTATTTAGACCTATATTTTTAGATGAAAGGCATGAGCAACTCCTGGCTTTATAAATTAATAAAGGCCCAAACCAGGCATCAAGCCTTACAACGTAAACAACATACAAAAAGCAAAATACATACGCCCTGTTCGATACCCCTCTACTCCACAACTCCGGGAGCGGAGCTGCTGTTCAAATCGAAGGAGTTGTGGTTTCCCCGCTCCGCAGATTCCAGGAGCGGGTGATTACCGAACAAGGCTATAGAACCGAAAATCAATACAAGCACAGCATGTACAGGGCTATAGGACAGAAAATCAATACAAGCACAGCAACATGCGCAAGACAATCATCTACATACTGTACCAACGAAAATGGCACAAGCTCCTGTAATGGAAGGAGGGCGTCTGATGTCATGTGGGCAACAAGGGGTATAGCGGCGGATGGCACTAGCGCATTCTTCTCGGGCGGAGGTGGTGATGCCTAGATCTGGATTGGGTAGGTTGGACATCGTCGCCACGGTGACCTAGGTGCCTCGTGATGATGCAAGTGAGTTTCCGAGTGAAATCGCCGCACTTTGGCGCTGGCACCCGACTGTGGGCACCACTTTCCTCTTGAAGATGTCGTTGCGGGTCTTTTCCCACTATCAGGGCTTCGGGTGAAAATCCATGTCTGTCCGGACTCTGGAGCGGCACACTTTGAACCGTTACCCTCCCAAGGGTGTTGTTGCGGAGCTCAGGCGCCATATGTCGGGCTATGGCGAGGTGTTCAGACTTCAGTCCGTCCTTTGCTCTTGCTCAGAAATGTCTTTGTGCTCTTTTCTTGTGCCTTTCTGTGTCCTTTTTCTATGTGAATTTTGTTGCCCGGTTACTCTTTGATCTGCTTTGTGAGAGGGCATTCTCGTCATCTTGTATTGTTCGGTCGTGTACTTTAGTTGTTGCTTTATACTCCCTCCGTCCCATAGTATAGGACGTTTTTTGACACTAGTATAGTGTCAAAAAAGGTCTTACATTATGGGACGGAGGGAGTACTATATAATACTCCCTCCGTCCCAAAATAAATGTCTCAATATTTTGGGACGGAGGGAGTAATATAAAGCAGGGTGACGGCCTAATTTGAGAGCTCGCCCGCAAGAGTTGAGTGGTGATGTTGCGGGATTCAGCGCCGAGCTGCGTGTTGAACTTGATCCTTTGTGAATGTAATGACAATTCTATTCCCTAATTAATAATTTCCCGTTTCAAGGCAAAAAGAGTCATGACAGCCAAAGAAGAAGAGACAGTGTGATCCATTCCATTTTCTTCCTTTCCACGTGTGCCTGAATTAAGTGAGCAAGGGCATGTGCAGCAACCTGAAGTGGTTTGGAACAACATCAGTAAGATCACACCGTGAGCAGGGTGGCACATTGAACTGAGCTGGAGCATACGAAAATTATGTTCATCGGATACAGTGGCACCAATTTCAGCAAACAAACTGCTGAAAATTGACATAGCCATTCTCAAAAAATAAAAAATAAAAAATAAAAAATAAAAAAAATTGACATAGCCAAGGCATCATTGAAGCTGAAAGAGGAGCAGTTTTGAAAAACTTTTCAGCACTGAAATCGTAGAAACAGGCAGTGATGCTTAAGATCAGATTGGTAACTTCCCATTGATGATGATAACATTAATCAGATACTGCATCACAGCCCAAACGAGGAATCTTACTACCACAGACGACAGGCTAATAAGAAACTAGCACATCTCTACACCATCAGATCAGAAATTAGGAAGCAGGAAGCAACCTAGGCCGCCCTCCAGCAGCGCGGAGACGGCGGAGCTCTGAATAATGCGGTTTTCACAGCAAAGTTGCATTAAAGAGGACAGAAACAGATAACCTTGGAGCAATAAGAAACCCAACAGCGGCAGTTGAGCTGATGTTTGCTAGGTACTCCGGCTGCATTAGAGATAGAGAACATTTTCCAAACAGATAACCTTGGAGCAATAAGAAATGCAACGGCAGCAGTTGAGCTGATGCTTAGGCACCCCAGTAGACATCGCTCTTCAGCCATACATGATGCAACAGCTGTTGTATACTAGCCATCACTATTCACTCATCAACCATATCATAGTCAACCTACCCCAACAAACGCTTGCAGAACAAGGGGGGAAATGGCACCACTTAATACTTTTAGAGTTCTACTCCATATTACATAAGGTTTCCTTTTTGGTTCTGAAATGATACGAATATATGGGTTTGGAAGGACTGTTCTATGGAAGGCTGATTTGAAAGGCTATTAGTTTAGTCAACACATAATATCTGATGCACCATACTGTCATTTATCAAGCGGTTGTTCAGATGTATCTAAAATATAAAGACTTTCTTCTGATGAGAATGAGGATTATCATCAAAGACGAGCTTCACAATTGATTAAATATGCCAATTACACTACAGTTAATAGTCAGAAAAATTGAGCCATAATCTTATTTTTACTTGTTCAGGAGAGGAAAATGGTGCCTTCCAAAGATTGGATGACATAAGCATACAAAATTAGCAGGCCTTGCTTTGCCAAGTTGCCAGGCGACTCATAGCTTTGCTAAATTACTAGTTTTAAATAGCGGATAGCGTGCTGGTAGCGGATTGGGGTCCGCGTAGCGGAATGCGGATAGCGGGTGATATTGCGGGCGCTATGTCCACATAGCGGGTTTGTAAAAACACAAGATTGTTGTGTATAATTCTAGATCCTTCATAAAAAGTAATTACATTTAATTTGATCAATAGCGGACGCTATTGCGCTAGTGCTATTGCGGACGCAATAGCGGATGCTATCTCCGCTATTTGAAACTAGTACTAGCACAAACTCTGCAAGCCGAAAGATGATCTCAGTAGAAATGCAACAACCAAGTAGAAATTAATACTGAACTTCTGATAATTTTAACAAATGCAATGGTTCAGAATAACAAGACAGTGTAGAAAATTAAGACAGTGTAGATAATTTCAACAAAAAAAATGAATAACAAGACATACTGTGGGGCTCTATGTCAGGAAGCCAGACGTACACTGAAGGAGCAAAGGGCAGATCTCATAAACTTTCATTGTTGCAGTACCTAGCAACATCAGGGGGTTAAGCCTACTAATAACGAGGTGGAACAAACTGAACACTGAAGGAGCAAAGGGCCATTTCGTGGGGCTTTAGGCATAAGTTCGCAGAAAATTGGATCAAGGGCATGGATAACGCTAAAAAACTGTTGGTAGATATTTCAAGTTTACAAACAAATAAAGGCATCATGAAGCACAAAATTAAGATCAGATAGCCAACTTTCACGTTGCTGATGATAACAAGAGGGTGACATCAGGCATACACTAGAACATAACACAGCCATGATAGCACGAACGAGGAATCTTCCTACCACGATAAAAGATCACTCCACCAAGCAACACACGCTAAGGCGAATCTAACATCTCTACACTTCCAGATCAGACGCTACGAAGCAGTCTTAGGCCCTCTCGCCACGGGTGCGGCGGGCGAGCTGGATGTCCTTGGGCATGATGGTGACGCGCTTGGCGTGGATGGTGCAGAGGTTGGTGTTTTCAAAGAGCCTAACACTTAAAATATAAACAGAGGACTGCAGGCAATACTATATTGTCTGGATAATACCTAAAGATGTAAATAGAGGAACGAAGGGTTTAAATCATCTACTGTATCTATATTTGTGCAGTAAGATTACTCCCATCAATGAGGAATTTACAGCTACACGTGTCCTTAAAAAGTGTGTTATGTTGAGTATCATGGCAAGCCAACTACAAGAAGCAAAGCCTCGTAAACTCGACAGGTCACTTATCAAATGCCGACCAGTTTGTTCATAAGGGGGGGTAGTGAAGCCGTCATGTGTTGCTTAATCTCTGAATGGCGTCTGTCTCACGTACTTTGACAAAAAACTAGCCAGCAACTCAACCTTGCTGAGCAGAGGGTTCCGTGAAGATGCTGCACTCCAGAATGTTAAAGTTAGAAACATTAGCGTACTTCGCCTGTTTTCCATCTAAAAGAGAAGATAAATAGTGTAATTCTGATCTGAAATACGCTGCTGCAACCAACAGGATCACGGCATGCACAACTTGGAGAACTGTCGAAATACAAAATGTAATTGCGCGTTGACTAAACCATACCTGAAAGTTTAAACCAGAGTAAATAGCAATTAGCTTGGTGTTTTCTTAATAGGTAGAAAATGTTCAGCATCTGATGGATCATTCAGTTTTTTCAATCTTGGGCATCTAATGCTGATATATTTTTATTTGGTTCAGTTGTATGAGCTGAGATATATAAACTTTGTAGGTAAACTGAATACATTGCAGTAAGACATAGTGGAAGAAATGGTTGTGCACTAGAGTCTCCTACGAACTTTGTTTGCCTAACTGGACACAAGCAATTTGAGGGAGGAAACTGTCACTGTTATAATAGTGATTACATGTAACTGGGAATATGGTGATGAGTCTCCTCAAACCTGATAGTAGTCGGTATGGAGCTCTTGTCAACAAACTCCATGGTGCAAACGTCTCCATTTGCCATCAAGTCCTCACTGCATTCTACCATTATAAAAAGATTATTAAGACTTCTTCACGCTTGAGTGATGTTGTGATGGATACTAGAGAATTTATAATACTAATGGCCTGGTGGACGGGACATGGAGAATATGCATGCAACGAGGAAGCTGAACATCGCTGAGAAAGTGATGCAGCTAACTAGAGACAACAAACAGACCAACTGAAGGCTGGACAAAATTTGGTGCAGAAGAGTAACAATTACTTGCAATAATTCAGTCTATATATGATGCTACAGTTGATTAATTTTTTTATGTGCTACTTAATAACAAATGCCTATTACAAGACACAACTACACTGATTGCAGCTATCTCAGATTCAAAATTATATTTAAACGGCAATGGCGACTCACAAAGTTTATTAATCCTTCAACAGAGTGCAGATATTTCCTATTCCATTTGGAGTCCAAAACCCACAAACACAGGAGTCAGTAAAGAAAACATCACATGACACTGCAAAACCAGTTAGTACACTCAGAACAGCCAAAATTTAATAGCTTCCATGGATACACACCAAAAAGAGTACAGATCCCTACACTTGTTTATGGGACAACCTCCGGCAACAAATGGATCACAGAACATTTGAAACTTAATATTCAAAGAGATTGCCATTCAAAAGCACAACTGTAGCCAAAGAAGAGATAGCTATCCAACCCACTATGGTCCTTCCCACGCAAGAATTGAGAGTAAAGATTAGAAGAAGAAAAAGGAATTGACAGAGCAAAGGACATCAAGAAACGGACTCGATTTATACAAGGTGAGCAGTTTCAGATTGCACTGAACTGGGGCATATGATCGTTTATCAAATTCTGTGGCACCTTCAGCAGCAAATGCTGCCAAAACGTGGAGGGATAAATCCATCAATAAACCAGACAAACAAGCAGGCATGTTTAAAATCAGATTGCTAACTTCTCATTGATGATGATAACAAGATGGTACCATCACATACAGTACATCACACCATAACACAACTGTCGAGGAACCTTACTACCACAGACAAGGGCTAATAAGAAACTAGTAACGCATCTCTACACCTCGAGACCAGATCAGACACTAGGATTCTAGGAAGCAGCCTAGGCCCTCTCGCCACGGATGCGGCGGGCGAGCTGGATGTCCTTGGGCATGATGGTGACGCGCTTGGCGTGGATGGCGCAGAGGTTGGTGTCCTCGAAGAGCCCGACGAGGTAGGCCTCGGCGGCCTCCTGCAGCGCGGAGACGGCGGAGCTCTGGAAGCGGAGGTCGGTCTTGAAGTCCTGCGCGATCTCCCGCACCAGGCGCTGGAACGGCAGCTTGCGGATGAGCAGCTCGGTGCTCTTCTGGTACTTGCGGATCTCCCGGAGCGCGACGGTGCCGGGGCGGAAGCGGTGGGGCTTCTTCACGCCGCCGGTGGCCGGGGCGGACTTGCGCGCCGCCTTGGTCGCCAGCTGCTTGCGCGGCGCCTTGCCGCCGGTGGACTTCCTCGCCGTCTGCTTCGTGCGGGCCATCGGGAGTGTGGAGCTTGCTTCGTGGGCGCGGAGAGAGGATTGCTGGGGAGATTTGGGAGTGGAATGAGGAACAAGGAGGGATTCGGGGGCCGTTTTAAGGAGGGAGACGGCGGGTGGGCGCGAGTCCGGGGAACTTTCCGCGCTCTTGTGTTTCGGGAGGGGAGGGGAGGGGAGTTTCGAGCGTTGGATCTGTGAGGCGTGGATGGTCTGGATTTGGTTTCGGGTGAGGCACGCGGATCGTGGGGAGCGATCCGTGGCACGGGTGTTCCTCGGCTCTGATTGGTTGATTGCAGCTGCGTTGCCTTTTATTTTTTGGGTTGCCTGCCCGGGCGGCCGCTACTGTGGGCTTGGGCTGCGTTGGCCTCTCTTTAGTTCAGACGAATGGCATGATCGAGGATGGGCCGAAATTTCCTTCCCACGTTTCAATTTTTATTTTTTTTAACACTTCCCCACGTTTCAATTGTTATTGTGCCAGGACCGGACCAGCCATCGTGCCTGCCTGGGATCCCCACGTTTCACTGTTCCTATGGCTCCAATGCTAAATCGAGATCATGGATATGAGATTTTAGCACGATTATCATAAAGAAAACACGCTCGGTTTCTTTTGCCCTGTGATAGTAGTTTGGTAGTACTGAAGTGATGATGGCTAGGTGCACAGATTCAGTCCGCTGCTGCTATCTCTAATCTAAAACTATACATAGTACTCCCTCCGTTCCCAAATATAAGTCTTTTTAGATATTTCAACAAGTGACTATATACGGAGCAAAATAAGTGAATCTACACTCTAAAATATGTCTACATACATCCGTATATTGTAGTTCATTTGAAATATCTAAAAAGACTTACATTTAGGAACGGAGGGAGTACTGCAGTGCAAGTCCCAAAAGTTTCGGTTCCTTCATTTAAGTACAGACATTTCACATTCCATTTGAAATCCAAACTCTACAAACAAGAGTCAAATATTCTGGTCCATGATACTGGCACACCAAACTCGCTAGTGATTACCTCTACTGAGCAACGCCACAGCCTCTCTGGAATGTTGACAATTGGGCATCTCTGGAATGTTGACAATTTGATTTAGCTTTAGCTGAATCTTTAGTCTCTACAATGAACCAAACCAATATCTATTTTTGAATTCTCCAACAAAGTAACTGAAATAATTTGTAAGGTAGTAGATTATTCATGTTGATGTTGATATTCGCTGCAAGGCTAAGATCCTTTGGCATCCTCTGTCGCCGCAGGTGAAGACGATGATTTATATAGTTGTGTTAGAGTACGTAATGGGCCTAATGGGCCCATTAGTCTTAGGGTTAATTAGAGATAAGGGTCGCTTGCTTAGGGGTCAAGTAAGCCTTGCTTGGGAGTCAAGTAAACCTCTCTATATAAAGAGGGGAGATGTATCATTCTAATCAAGCAAGAATTAAGAAGGAAATCCCTTCCCTCTTGCCCGGCCGTGGGCAAAAAGGCCCCCGGCCGGCCCTCTCCCGCCCTCCTTCTAGCAGCGCCATAACAATTTGGTATCAGCTAGCTTCGGTTCGATCATGTCTTCACCGCCGCCAAGCCCGTCTCTTCCGCTGCTGGTCACCTTATCGCCTCCGGCGACCACCACGACCGTCACCCCGCTCCTGCTCGCGCCGGGATCCTCTGTCGCGCCCGCCCCCACCGTCCTCACCTGGGAGGAGGTGTCCGGGGTGCTGCGGGACCTAACCCAGGCGGTCCAGGAGATCCACCTGTTCTTGGCCGGGTCCTACGGGCCGCACCCGGTTGCGCCGCCCATCGTCGCCCCCGCGCCGCCGTGGCTGCCGTGGCAGCCGCCGTACCAGGCGGCCTTCGCCGCACTCGCCGGGCCGCGACAGTAGCCGCTGCAGTCGCCATCCATCGCCACCACCGCCCAGCCCTGGCTGCAGTGGCAGCCGCCGCGCCCGGCGCTCCGCCGCAGCAGCCGCTGCCGCTGCCCGGCGCGACAGCACAGCAGCCGTTGCAGCTGCAGCAGCCACCGCCGGTCAGCTCCACCGTCCAGTATGGGATGCCCTATGACGGGAGTGCGACGACCTCGTTCCCATCAGCGTCGCCGCCATCCCAGGGCGTCCACATCCAGCAGATCAAGTCCCTGCCGTCGCCGTCACCGCTTCCGTCTTGGATCGCTACCCGCCACGTGTCGGCGGCGGTGAGGCTGCAGCCTGCTGCACGCGGCCTCCTAGCGCGTCGGCGTGTGCGGGAGATGCGTGGTCTGCAGCTGCCGCTCCTCCAAGTTGCCTTTTGCTGTGCAAAGGACCTCGATCTCATCCGCTGCGTCGGGGATCTTGGGCATGCAGTTTCCCCCACGGGCGGCTAGCAAGCTGTTTTCCCCACGGGCAGCGACCTCAAAGTCTGCGACATCGGTGGTTGGGGGGCGCACCCCTCCTCGTCATTCTCAATCGCAAGCCCTTCACTCTTCCCTGTGCGGTGTAGACCAACAGCCGTCCGGCGGGGAGAAGGCAGGGTGTCACCGACAGGAGCGCACCGCGTAGCACCACTGCTTTCCGCCGCCGACCGCCGCGAGGGCGCCTCTGCTGGTCGCTCTTGCAACCACTTCCAGGTGGCCATACACATGCACTCCTTTGGTCTAGGTGGTGTCCATGGGATCCAGGTGGTTGTACACGTGCACGTCCGACATGCGGATGATGTCTACTTTTTGTTAAAGGGTCCAAAATAAAGCGTCTCAGTCCATTTTAGGTTGAGAATAATAAAACAAGCCGAGATGTAAAAGGCTTATTTTTAGGTATTAGGTTTGTGTTGCGTCGAGTCATGGTTATAAATTGGTTAGGCTGCAGCTCGAGGACAAGCTGCATGTCCAGGTGGGGTGTAGTGTTAGAGTACGTAATGGGCCTAATGGTCCCATTAGTCTTAGGGTTAATTAGAGATAAGAGTCGCTTGCTTAGGGGTCAAGTAAGCCTTGCTTGGGAGTCAAGTAAACCTCTCTATATAAAGAGAGGAGATGTATCATTCTAATCAAGCAAGAATTAAGAAGGAAATCCCTTCCCTCTTGCGCGGCCGTGGGCAAAAAGGCCCCCGGCCGGCCCTCTCGCGCCCTCCTTCTAGCAGCGCCATAACAAGTTGACTTGTCTGGTGTGCCATAAAATTACTCTTAAGAAGAAATACTGGCATGTGGTAATCGTTCTACCTGTGATACTTTTGCTGCTCCACAGGCTAAGGTGCCAGTTGGTCGAGGAATGGTCAAACATTCAGTATCTGAATGGAATTCAGGGTATTAGCATCCTAGTATGTGATGCGATTTTTTCTTCTAAATGTACTAGGTCAGCTCCTTATCATCAGTAATTGATAGCAGTGCTAATAAACCTGATGTTAAACTACACAGTTTTTTGCAAATAATTACCTCTATTGAACAATGCCACAGCCTCTCTGGGATGCTGACAAATAACCTTTAAATTTTTTTACTTTTTTGTTGAGTTTGCGTAAATATATTATCATAAAACTAGCTACCAGAATACTTCTGTTAACTAATGATGATTTAGAGACTCAATAGACTGTTAACTAATGACATTAAAAAATGCTATTGGACAATGATGCCAAGATGTTAACAAACTGGTGTTCCTGATAGCACATCTCAGAGAAGGATAAATACGACAGAGGGACAGATAACGAACACACGTCCAAGTTATTTTCAAATGAATTGCTGCCTTCAGGGTGCAACCTATCACCAGAATTTATTCTCAATCATATGATTTTGTGATCAATGACTGCCCAAGAACATGATTGTAAAGATTCTTCCCTCCCATTAACCGTCATAACTTATAGCTCAATCTGGTAAGTGGCATCTTCTGATGTTAGTTAGAATGTTGGTAATACTTGGTGTAACAGGTGCTGGATTTTTATTTTGTTCCTTGTGGACGAGTAGGCATCATAGTCTGTATGCTGCACCGATCTCAATTTTGGGTTCTCTAGAAAAATAACTGGATTATTCATGGTGATGTTAATTAGTTATGCATTGTCAAGCTAAGTTGGCTAGCATTGAGATATTGCTAGGGAACGTAAAGGCCACAGGAGAAGAGTTGTTGTTTGGATGATTAAACTAGTGTAAATTGCTACCTAAGTTATCTGATACCTGGAATCTGTAGAAAAGAAACATATATTTTATTTTATTTTAGTAACTGAAGCTTTTGACTTGTAGGGACAGTCCTTGTTCTTGGTAAGTATGTGTGCAGTAGCAGAGGCACTTGATATATGTACTTTCCCTAGTAGACTACTATAGTTGATCAGCATGTGTGTACTTAGCCTGTTAAATCTTTAAGGCAGTGGGTTACAATACAACTTACATCAGTGATATTTAATTCTGTAAGGGTTTCACATTTCAGGAAAGATATACCTGTGGTGACGAAAAAAGGCATGTTCAGGAGGACAAGGATGGAGCGCTCTGCTCCAAATTATTAGCATGCCGTGGCTTCCTGCAGATTTGCTTACCTAGAATGTTGACAAATTAGTATAGCATTTTGGCTGAATCTTTAGTTTCTACAATACACCCATATCAATTTCTGGATTCTCCAACAGAGTAGCTGAAATAATTTGCAATGTAGTAGGTTATTCATGTTGATTAGCTATTCACTGCCGGCCTGCTTAAAACAATGAATTGTATAGTTGAATTGTCTCTTGTGCCATAAACTTACCTCTTAGTTTAAGAAGAAAAAAACATCGCCAATCTCAACTATGAAAATGGAACACAACCTTTGATGGGTTATCTTGTCCTGAATGTCAATACAGGGTATTAGCATCCTATTACATGGCAGGTACAGTATGATAAAAGATCGGCATTGTATCTTGAAAACCATGCTTGTTCAGCCTCCATATATCTTCGATGCACAGAAATATGTAGCAGTTTCTAAGAATGAAACCAGTGCTCCCACAGATGAACTTAAACTGCTCTTCGGTATACGATTGGAAACAGGAGCCGGGCTTTCTTCTTGGTGGTTTCAGGATAGCCTCCATACCCCTGCGGAAAAAAT